ACAGACACTCATCTTTCTTGTCTCTTGTCGACAATTGGAGCCACCCCGAATCGCTCTCTGATGACATCGTTTCGAATGTGGCTAGTCCAGCGCAGCATCTTTGTCTCCATCACACTGAGACGGGCTTCGACCTCTTTAGTCGTAGGCCAGCACTCAGCACCGTAAATCGCGACCGGCCGGATGACGGTTCTATAGATCTTAGATTTGAGACGTTCTGGCATGTTTTTATCGCAGAGAACGCCAGTCATCGAGCGCCATTTCGACCAGGCTGCATTCACGCGAGAATTCGTTTCAAGACCAGGCTGCCGTCAGACGCGATTGCTGATCCAAGATACTTGAATGATGTTGCACGAGTGAGTTCAGTACCATTGATCTTAATAGAGCCTGGCTCACTCGGAATCGGTGGTCAAGTACTCAGTCTTTTTGACGTTCAACCTTGAGCCCGAACATAGCCAGACGGTCGGACCAGGCTTGCACCTGTTGCTCGAGCGTGCTTTTATCTTCGCTAGCGAGCATCACGTCATCAGCATAAAGAAGCGTCCATGGAGCCGGCTTCTGGAGATCTCGTAATGGCATCCATGACGACAACAAATAGGAGTGGGGATAACGCAGAGCCTTGGTGTACCCCGACAGAGATGGGAAAATCCATCGATGTTCCTGCTGCCGTTTGCACTCGGCTCTTTGGACTCGAGTAAAGGATGCGCACCCACTCAATACGAGCTCTTCAGGCACGCCATGCTGTCGTAAGGCATACCATATAACGTCACGCGGAACGCGGTCGAAAGCCTTCTCCAAGTCTAGGAAGGCAAGATGCACCGGTCTTTGTTTTCTCGCGATGCTTTTCTAGCAGAAGGCGAGCGGCGTGTATGGCATCGATGGTGCTGCAACCAGCCACAAAACCACACTGGTTGGTGGTCAGCTCGACGATGTCCCGGATACGGCTATCTACAATTCGCTCAAAGATTTTCATGCTGTGCGAGAGCAGGCGAATTGGACGGTAGCTAGTGCAGTCTCCAGGACTGCCCTTCTTCTTCCAGATAGGAATCGTCGTGCTCTGTTGCCAGCTTTCAGGCACCTTCTTCTCTGCAACGATCTGGTTGAAGAACTCCGTCAACCATTCTGCAGGATTCCAGCATTTTGATTTCCACAAGTCCGCCGCTAAGTCGTCAGGACCAGTTGCTTTGCCTGATTTCATCTTCTTCATGGCCGTGATGGTCTCCTCCATGGTTATCTTCTGAACGGGGCCGTGTACTGGCGGAGCACACCAGATAGCCACGCCATCGATTCAGTAAAAGACGCGTATGCACTATGTATTACAATCGTGGTAACATGATGTGGTACCTAAGCTGCAGACTTGGAGTCTCCGCTTCTACTAGCTGCGCGCTTATTCCATTAGATGCCTAATCATTTATTTTACACCCCAACAGACAGGTATACCGACCGACATACACACATACGTGCTACATTAACTCAGATTTTATATAATAGGAGATTTCCATAGCTAATCGCTGCGAAAACAGCAATTTGTTTCGTTGTGCACAGCCAGCTCCCTATAATCATTAGCTTCGTCGACTAGACGAATCTGGCGACTGATATCGGCTTCTTCATATCAAGGTATGTACGTTCCTCTCATTGAGAATCTCTTAAGAGTTTTCTTCTTTTTTTTCATAGATTGCACATCTTTACTTTTGGGCGTAGTGTGCGAGTCCGATAGCTATATACAAATTTGGCTATGGAATAGTAAGCATTTATCGCGTTTTCTCATATTTAACTATTTGTTCGTAGTCGTGTAGTATATGTCTCGCGAAAGTGGAGATGTAATTTGCAATTCCTGGGCACTAAAATATATACTTGGTGTGTTTTTTTCTTCAGAATTTTCACCACAGATTCCGAGCGGCTCCTTTCAACTAACAATTAACGAGGATGTCGACAGGAAGAAGCTGAATTTTGTCATCACCTCAAATAATATCGCAAACGTGCCAAAGGTTAGACATAGACTGGAATCAGAAACACTCCTTCTTATGAGGTTCATATGGGGAACGAGATTCAAATGAGGAACAAACACACTTATTGGAATTTCCTACGTATCCAAGCCTGCGGAGGGACTCGCAAATAGTCGATGTATCACTTTGAATGTGCTCTAGACTTTTAGCACGAGATTGGTGAGGCCCGCCTCGACTACTCCAAATAAGACCTCCTATTCGATCTCACTGAAGCCATCTGTTCGGGGTAGTCAACAGCTTTTCCGATCTTATTAAAATATCTGTGCATCTTAATGGTAGCACCTTTCTTCACTTGATGCTTCATTGTCGGATTGATACAATGTCAGTTTGCTTGGTAAATACTGCCACGCTCAGTCCAAACTTGAATATTGATTGGGTTCGTACGAATTTATGCACAATACCCGTGCATTTTCGTAGGCAAGTATGAGAGCAAAGGTAATAACAAATTAAATTCCAAAAATGAAAAGCACAACGAGTTGGCCAATAATAGTCATTAAGAAAGCATTTGAGATATCAATTTTTATGGGGATCGTGCTCAAAACTACAAAGGTCTAAGAAAAGCAACAAATGAAATTCTGTCACCTGATAGTCTTCGTGCATAAAAGAAGTCAGGAAAGTCTACCGGGTGACCTCCACACAATAATTCGATTTATTCGTTTGTTTTCTGGGTGTAAACGAACCCAGGAAGCTTATCGCACTCCCTGACCCTGTCAAATATTGCTCAATTGCAACGAAACATCAGGGGTCGATAGGTTCAGAGTTGACCTAGCAAATCGCATTAGAATAATCACGCATACCTCTTTTTGGGCACCCATATGAAATTTTGAATTCCGTTTATGAATGTTCTAAGAGGATAGTCTTCAGGAATTGCATATCTCAATGTCTTTCACCACAGCTGTGGATCGACCGTATGAAGTCGTTGCTGGAGCAATAATGTTGTCGTTGAGTTTTCAATTTTCCTTTATATTCAGTTGAATGTTTGATATATTCCAGTAGCGCGCTTCATACTGACAAACTTGAAGCTGAATGGACTCAAAACAAAACTCCAGAGCGATTTGGTAGATTAAAAGCGGTTGATGATGAAATTGTGAATGCCATATTGTTTGCAAATAAATAGAAACAAAGAAAAGGTCCTCAACAAGGACCCCACCTCTTCTGCCATGAAATGAGGGGGTTTGGCCGGACGAGCTGTGCTAAGTATCTTGCTAGGCCGGTACTAATTGGTGGGTCGTGCCAGCAAACATCCTACTGCAGTCGTACATGTACGGTACAAACAAAGGCATATGCACCAATACAAATGGAGAAATACGATAACTAAAGCATTTAAGCGAATGAAGTAAAAGAAAACAGACTAAATTCCTTACAACGCAGTTACATTTTACACCAATCACGCTAGGACCACGCAGCTGCTTTTTGAGCTAGGTTTTTGCTTCAGCGACACTTCGTTTGTTTTCGGCGACGGCTCATGCATTTTGTCGTTCCATAGGAAGTCTGGTGGTCAGAATATGAATCCGTCTGGGGCTGCTGCTCCAAGAAAAGATATACACTGCGTTTCATAATTATAGGTCCACCCTAAATTTTTGCTACCCCAAAGTTGCTGTGCATTTTTTGGAAATGCTGCTATCACCATTAGATTCCTCATCACGGAAAACCTTCATAGTGTTTTTCTGACAAATTCCCCCCTCAAGTAACCCAATTAACTTTTTAGAACGAATTTTCACCGTTTCATGAATATCGGGCCACTCATAAAAAGTTTCCATTTCTCATGATCCGTGAAGGGAATCAGGGAAGCGGGGATATATGTGAGCTCAGTCGACATCGAGTTTACCATACCTCGTGTTATTCGCCTCTCTTCCCAGTAACAAGCTCAAGCCAGAGCACTTACTGAAGTGGGATAGCTGAGGAGCAGAATTTCCTCCCATGTCGGCCGGCTCATACTGCATAAGCGACTATGTGCAAAATCCTGGTCAGTGCGGAGAGAAGAGTCGCTTAGGTAAATAAAGACTGCGTTTCCTTCAAAATTTAGGAGGAATTGGGCGTCTCTCGAATTGTACAAGGAGTCCGAACAAAGTCCGTGCTGAAATGCGGCCTTCCGTGAGCAAAACCACCGTGTGGTGAGTAAGCCAGCAGAGCAATAACATCTTCAGCGGATTGATGAAGAGCGTTCCAAGATTATTTGAGCGCTACAAGATCGCACGTCTCCATTTCTCCGTGGAAAAGGGCTCAACTTAATGAACGAAGGTGTGGCTGTTAAGACCCTTCGCGATCTTGGACTCTACCTCCTTGTTTCGTTGCTACAGGTGATCTGAGATCGACGTGAAAAGTTTATTCTAGGTGGATCTAATAGAAAAAGAGGGTACAAGAGGGTCTCGTGAGCTCGCGTTTGTTTCCTTTTACGAGGTTTCCATAGGGTATCGTGAAGTTCTTCTGAAGCGACTTTTTTTTCGACAAGGATCCCCTCTATCCTTGATTTTCACACACGATAACGCGGCTGTCCATGCCGGTCCCTCCGCGCCAGATGGAATTGCAGGAAAAAATGTGGCAGTTATCTGGTGGCCACCATGTTATTCCAATAGAGAATCATTGGGCCTTAATTGTTATAAAGTTCCACAGCAAAGTAAAGCAAAATGGAACAGCCGAAGAGCTGAAAACGTCGATCATCGGCGCCCAGACAAATTTCGATCCTACTGTAATAGCTAATTTGGTTACCAGCATTCCAAAACGTATTATTGTGTTCCTTATGATTATTGGGAGGACCATCCCATTATTGAAAATTTGTGACGTTTTTTTGTTATAGTAAAATCTCTCGACAAGTGATGTGTAGTCATATTTGCGAAACGGTGAAAATACGTTCTAAAGAAGATATTTTAATAATTCTGAATCGAGATTTCTCCAGAAATCAAGTATCAGGGTTTTTCGCTATTGGGAAACTATTGGTAATAGCGGCATTTTCCAAAAATGCGCAGCAGCTTTGGAATAGCAAAAATCCAGGGTGGACC